ATCAAAAAGAAAACATTGAATGAAAAGAGTGCAAAAAGAAGAAAAAAATGTTTATATCTGCCCCTTATTTAAAAAAATATAAAATAACTAAACAGTCACTTAAATTAATCACTTTAATATCCACTATAAAACTAGGAATAAAAAGAAACATGTTTTGTTTTAGCAGAATTTAATTCTAACTTTAAAACTTATCCAACATTAATAAAACTTACCTCAAGTTGCCTTTTTGGACATGCATGAATATATTTGTACAAATTGTACTTGAGAGGAGATTATTACAGCCTTGTATAAAATCAATGATCATGATATCGGAACTGGATCGGTATCGGACGATATTCAGATTTAGTATCTAGATCGGATCAGAATTTATAAAAGTGGATCGGTGCATCCCTAGCTACTACCACACCAAATTTTAACTTAACGTCTTTCAAATTGAACTGAGTTATAGCTGTTACTGTGTTTCCTAAGTTCAGCTGGCTGCTTGTTGTTGTCTGACTCCACCTGTGAAACCTCCAGGTGCCTGCGTACGACACAACTGCCTGCTCAGCACTTCACTCTTTTAGAGGTGGAGATTTATTTAAGGGAAGACGCGGAAATGCTTCACTTGAAGAGGCAGATCGTGGCTGTTGTGTTTAAAATGAGTGTTTATGTAATTATTTTCAGTTTACATATCCAATGCAAGTTTTATTGTTCAAGGCAGCCATATTTGTTCATAACTTTTTATTAATAAGCCTGAGAGTTATTGGATCCAAGCTGGATCCTAGCAAACAGTTACCGGAAGCACCCAGTCAAAAGAACAAGAGTTCCCAGAATTTGTTCCGGCAGGATCCAGCTCAAATTAAGCCGCAGTTTTGATGTGACATTTGTGGGGGGACACATTAAGTTTCGGGACGCATTAAAGTGGAAGGAAGAGCAAGACCCCTTTCAGGTGGATAATAACAGGGGGCTATCTTCAGGCAGTCCCCAATTATAGATATACATTCAATGACTGTTTTCAGACAGTTTCACTAAAATCTGTCCAGTGGTTCATGAAATATTTTGCTAACATACAGACAAATGAACACGGACAGTGGTATAAACTTTATCACCCTTTTGCTGATCAGTAGCGAGGAGTGACTCCTGATTCTTTGCATTGGATGTCGTTTTTAAGCTCTTGTGCTCGACTGGAATTTAGCTGAGAGTCTTCCCAAGGCAGGGAGTGCTGACGCAGCCGAACATTATCGTTTGAGTTTTGATTGAAATGGTCAACGTCCTCAAACGTCAGAGAGCTTCTCTCTGCCTGGCTGTACGTACAGTCGTTACAGCAACACTTACACTGCAGCGTACAGGCCTCCCACAGCCGAGTGGATGAAGCCTCGGACCACAGTGTGCAGGATGAAGGACAGAATCTGTGGAGACATCGGAAAAACACGTTGGTTTTCTGTCGAGAGCCACTTCAAACACAACTAGCTCGTCTTTACCGACAACTGCCTTTTACCTTTGTCGAAAGAGTTTCAGAATCAAACTAGAGAAATGTCACTTTCTGCAAAAATGCAACGTGATGATGATTACAGCTGAAACTTGTTGAATAAGCTAAACTGTGTGTTAAAGCTAAAAGAAGCAAAACACTAGCTGAAAGCTAAATGTAGCAAAATGGTCCTTAAATGTAGCAAAAGGCTAGCTAAAACTGAAAATGTAGCCAAAAGCTAGTTAAATGCTAAAACAAACAGAATTGTATCTTAAAACTAAAAGTAGCATAAAAATACAAAAACAGAGCAAATATGCTAAAGCTCATTTTAAAGAGAGGAATTTTTTAAAGGAATTGAAGCAATCTCAATGTATGCCTTTGGAAAATATATTTAAATAGTTAAATATGTTGAAAAATATAGAAGTTACAAAAGTTATGACAGCTAAAGAAGCTGAATATTTTGAACAGCTAAAACAGAACAAGGGCTGCAGAAACAGATTGCAAAGAACGTAGAAAAGTAGAAAGAGGAAAACAATGGTGTGAATGCAGAAAGTTAACAGCAGTGCTGCTTCTGTCCAGCAGGTGAGAGTATAGGACAGAGAAATGCTGCTGGAACACTGTGTGCCTCTGCAGTGGAACACGTCCCCCTCAAAACTTCACTGCAGTTTAACAGCTGCAGAAATAGTTAAAAAAAAACACAACACAGACAAATGTTTGTCTTCCTGCTCACACACCTGAAGCTGCAGGTTGGGAATGACGCTAGTGACTCCGAAGCCAACCAGGAGCAGGTTGGTGAAGATGAAGGCTCTGGTGGCGTTCACTATCTTCTGGATCTTTTTGCTGGGGCGGCGGGGCTGACCGGGCTCCCTGAAGGGAGGAGAGGAAGAAAAACTCAGCATTCCTTGGAAAGAGTGCATATCACCCACCGGCATTCATGACGGAGTTTAAATTCAAAATGGCTGCCAAGGCCATTCAAGCAAAAAAATGCTTGTTAGTTCTCAGAGGATATGTTGAGCTACGACCACATGAACTTCAGCCCGTTGTCTGTCTTTTTGAGTACGTTATAGACATTTTGTGTTGGCAAAGGTCACTGAGCTGTTGCTGCCATAGAAGTGAGTTAACAACAGTGAATCAGCTGTAATGTCCATCCAGTGACTGCAGTAGATGTCTGTCCAGTGACTACAATAGATGTTTGTCCAGTGACTACAATAGATGTCCGTCCAGTGACTACACTAGATGTCAGTCCAGTGACTACAGTAGATGTCTGTCCAGTGACTACAGTAGATGTCTGTCCAGCGACTACAGTAGATGTTTGTCCAGTGACTACAGTAGATGTCTGTCCAGTGACTACAGTAGATGTCTGTCCAGTGACTACAGTAGATGTTTGTCCAGTGACTACAGTAGATGTTTGTCCAGTGACTACAGTAGATGTCTGTCCAGTGACTACAGTAGATGTCTGTTCAGTGACTACAGTAGATGTCTGTTCAGTGACTACAGTAGATGTCTGTCCAGTGACTACAGTAGATGTCCGTCCAGTGACTACAGTAGATGTCCATCCAGTGACTACAGTAGATGTCTGTCCAGTGACTACAGTAGATGTATCTTCAGTGACTACAGTAGATGTATCTTCAGTGACTACAGTAGATGTTTGTCCAGTGACTACAGTAGATGTCTGTCCAGTGACTACAGTAGATGTCTGTTCAGTGACTACAGTAGATGTTTGTCCAGTGACTACAGTAGATGTTTGTCCAGTGACTACAGTAGATGTCTGTTCAGTGACTACAGTAGATGTCCGTCCAGTGACTACAGTAGATGTCCGTCCAGTGACTACAGTAGATGTCTGTTCAGTGACTACAGTACATCCTGAGAGTTTAATTCAGTCATAGACACACGCAGACACCCACAGACATGGCAGCACGATGGCTCAGTGGTTAGCACTGTTGCCCCACAGCAAGAAGGTCCTGGGTTCAATCCTCAGTTGGACCTGGGGTCTTTCTGTGTGGAGTTTGCATATTCTTCTCATGATAGCATGGGTTTTCTCCAGGTACTCTATTTCCTCCCACAGACCAAAAACATGCATGTTAGGCTGATTGGTAACTCTAAATTGGCCCTAGGTTTGAGTGAGAGAGTGAATGGTTGTTTGTCTCTATGTGGCCCTGTGATGGACTGGATCCATCCAGGGTGTACCCCGCCCCTCGCACAGTGATTGCTGGACATGGGCACCAGCGACCCCCGTGACCCAAAATGGAATGGTAAAGATAATGGATGGATGGATGGCCACTGGCACAAACATCAAAGCCTCCCACCTTACATTTCCCTCTTTGTGAAAAGTGAAGCTGCTCATTCTTACCTTTTGACAGACTTGTCATTATCATCCTCGCAGTCTTTGAGCTTCCAGTCCATAACGTAGCCAATCACAGGAGAGGTGACCAGACACAAGAGCTGCAACACGCCAAAGATGGAGGTGTACACACTCACTGACAGACACACACACACACACCATTTATTATTAAACTTTGATGAAAACATCATAAGTACAATATCATGATATCATGTGACCACAACTTCATGATCTAGACAAGTGGCCCCCAAAGTTGGGTTCATGACTCCCACTAGAGTTGTGAAACACCACGTGAGACAACTTGATAATCTTTTTACATGATAGACAAAAGCAAATGTACCTTAAATGTTACAGAGAGATACAAATCATAATCATAGATAAGTACATTAAAAAGCATGATATTGACAAGGCTCTTTGCTTAATGGCTTTTAGTAACATTTGTATACTTCAACCAGCAATAGCTGTGGTCATAATATCTATGACTTTTATTTTGAAAGGTTTGGGAGCCACTGATCTAGACAGGACAGCTACAGAGGACAGACGGTGGAGGAGGGGATGAATGCAGATGGGTATTTGGTCACGGGTCTCTTACCCACTTCCATCTTCTCCACTGCAACAGCAGCATGAATGCAACAGGGACGTTAAAGAGGAGTTAAAGATAAAAACCAGACACAAGAACATCTGCTTTTAGGTGTGCAAAAAAGGGATAGTCTGGTCATTTTTGAAGTGATGCTCGGCCTAATAGTTATCATTTAGAGCCTTATCAGCTGTGACATCAGCCATGGATCACAGATCAGAGACACGGGCAGACGTCTGTCCAGGCTAGGTCCAAAGCTAGCCAAACAAGGGGCTGTTTGGTTTAAATTGATTTTTAGGCACATTGTTGCCAGATACGTTTATAAAAAAAAATTTTAATATGAAAAAAGTATCGTGATTGATGATAGGTGCTTGGTCAATGACATCACTGCAACTTTCACTAAAGTCACGATCACTAGTCCTAATCGTTCACATTCCAACATTTAGATGCTCTGACAGCATCATGAAGGAAGGCTGCCTCTTCTCCTGCTCACACTTGTAACCCTCCATAGCTGAGTCAACCTTTGCAAACACGAGGTGCTGAGTGACTGCAGCTGACCGGTACATTCATCCGCCTCAGCACCATCAGCAGATAAAGGTCTCCGCTGCGTGAACAGACATGTAGCACAGACATTGTTAGAAGAGACAACAGCTCAGCCTGGCTGAAGACGTTGGACCTTTTCTTCATACTCTGCTCTGAGGTCACAGGTGTTCTGGTGCTAACTTGATGACAGTTGGCAGAACATCACTTGTAAAAATGACGGGAACATCCGATGAATGCACAGCCTGCGAGCGACCACACACACCTGTGTTCAGGTGTTGGTCTGTGAGCGACTCCAGGATGGTGTTCATGGCTCCCATGTAAAAGATGAGGCGCAGCTGCGTGACGCACATGGTGATGAGGCTGAGCAGGAAGATGGGGCTGAAAACACTCTTCATGAAGGACTGATCTGCAGAGGAAACGAGACGAGTTACACGAGCTGGGGACTGATCTAATCCCTCTGGTGATAATCCTGAAGGAGCTCACATATGAAGAAGCATGAGTTTATTCTGCTGTTCGCCACACACAAACATGAGCTTCTTCATGAAGCCTTCACTCTGCTGTGGTCCATTTTTCTTCTGTACGTTATTTGGTGCGATCCTCGTCCCACAGTTTAGAAGCTATTTCTCAAAACGTTCAGCTCTTTCAGGACAATCCAGCTGTGACTTTTGGTATTAGTGCAACTTTAGCTTTTTAAAAATATTTAGCCTTTTCTGCCATTTTTTCTCATAGAAAATGAACTGAACTCATTTTACATCCTTCAGATCTTTAGACCTGTTTTCAACATTTTACTTCTCCTTTCACATTCTGTGCTGCTTCAGCTGCTTTCAGCTTCCTTGTGTCAATTTAAACTTTTTTCAGCTATTTTCAGCTATATTGTGCTCCTTTCTAATTCTTTCTGCTAACTACAACATTTTTGTGCTTCTTCTAACTTGTTTCTGCTCCTTTCAGCTCATTTCTGCAACTTTCAGCTTTCACTTCAATTTCAGCTACTATATGGCTGTTTTATGCTAACTTAAGATTTTTCAGCTAATTCCACTTTTTTTTAAGCTCATTTCAGCTCTTTCCACTTCCTTCTGGTAGTTTAAGCTTCTTTCTACCTTTTCAGCTACTTTCAGCTGTTTTTTTTGTTGTTGCTAATTTCAGCTTTTTTTTTTCAGCTAATTTTCTAATTTTTGTGCTCATTTCTGCTTATTTAAACCTATTCAGCAAATTTGTGTTCTTTCTTCTTTCTTTTGCTAATTTAGGCTTGTTCTTCCAGTTCAGGTACATTTCAGCATGTCTTTAGCTAATTTTAGCTGTTTTTCCTGAATAAACACTCGCACTGCATTTTTGCAGGAAATGTATTTTCTCTAGTTTTCTTTGACATCTGCTTTTGTAAATTATGGCTGCAGTTATCATCCATAGCCGAAAGAAGAACATAACGTTGTTCTTGTCCCTGTCGGAGTGTGTGTGTGTTTTTTTAAGCAAAATATCTCAAACAGTTAGATAGATTTTAATAAAACTTGCAGTGAGTAATCACAGTTTGAACATTCACGACTGATTAACGTTTGGAAGCATCCCAATTCAAGATGGCCACCAGAGCTAATTTACATTAGCCAACACAAACGTGTTCATACCAGTCAGTTTCACACACGCTGAGCTACAAACTGATGTGGTAACTGGGACTTTACAACGAGGACTCTCAGCGTGACATCTCGTGACGTTCCATGAAACTGAGCGAAAACTTAATTTCAAGGTTTGACCTGAGTGTTTACAACACCATCATTTCTCTACATGAGACGCTCGTCGTAAACACTCTGGCACGAAAGACAAGGACAGGAGTACCCTTTATTTCTAACACACACACACACACACACACACACACACACACACACACACACAGTGAGTCGACAGCTCAGTTTGGAAAACATTCCCAACTCGTGTTCATCTGAGCAGCAGCAGGTTGTATCTGCTCTACTTAAGATCTACTGAGCACATCAAAACAGCAACTGGCTGAAAAATCCATGGCCTGCTACATTTTTGAAAGAGTTAATGTTGAATACATGAGGCGGCCATCTTAATCTGGGTTAACTTCAGAAGTTAAGTGTGCTGGGTGCTTTTGAACGAGGAACATCCCAGAATAAGATTTCATGCCCATCCACTAAATAATCAAACATCTGAGTGCTATGATGTTCTTTTACAGAACCAGACATCCAAAGAGCACGCCAAGGGACAAGTGCCCATGCACCCTGCACGTCAGCGCACAGACTGATGATCGTGAGGACATGAGGTTTGATATCCCAGCTGCAGAGAATCAGCACGTGTTGCTACAGATGAGCTCAAACATGCCTGTCCCCTTGTCACTACTTGCACGGTGCATTATGTAATACTGCACCAGCAGTACCAAGTACTACAGCTACTAGAGGTGGAGCGTACAGCTCTTTGAAGAGAGCTGGAGCTTTAGGATCCACTTCTTTTCAAAGAGTGGTTCCATGCAGTATGGTCAGAGTTGTACATGTTTATATCCACCTGTACTGTCAAGCGTCGTATGACTCAGCCTACAAGCCTTTACCCTCCCTTCCTGACCAGATGTTCACCGATCACAACAGCTGTTGCACCCAGACCCTCTCCCTGCTCTTCATTCATCTCAGTGGAAAAGCAAGGCAGGAGCGAGTGCATCGATATGAAGCAGGAGGAATAACAAAGCAGCTCGCTCGCGTCGCTCATTTTAAAGAGCCGTTCAAAAGGTTCAGCTTGTTCGTGAACGTCCCAACAGCTCTGCTGCAGAGCACAGATTAATATCTAAATATCTCCTGTGCCCCCGGCTGCTACGAGAACATGTCTGAACCTGGGTGAAGACAAAGCAACCAGAGGATTCAAAGAACAGCTTTGAGTAAAGTCAAGCATTCATACAAGTAACGAACATAAAGCAGCAGATATGCCCATATGGTTAGGTACTGGAGCATCCCTGTAATGAAGGCTGCACAGATGGAGGGGGGGGGGGGGTGGTGCTGCTACAAGTAGGTGTCTATGTCAGGCCTAATTGTAGGAATTGTTTGGTTGCACACAGAAAACATCTTCTAGGCTGCTTTAGACATGGAGTTTTAGAAGTTTGAGTAAACCAAGAAGCATTTGGTTTCATGCACGATCTATTCCAGTGATGTGAGGTGAAGACCTCCAACTACTGTTACCAGTTCTACCACCAAGTATAATTCATGACTGCTACAAAGACAAAACTTAACTTTAAGGAAGTCTTTAGAATCTCGTCAGATCAGAACCAAAGCCTAAAACGTTCCCAAAGTGAGAGCCGGCAGGTTTGTATAGCCGTGTGTGATCCGGGCCTCTCTGAAGCTTTTGACAGTAAGACCATATCCAGCTGTTATAACACCGACCCTGGTCCATGTTCTGCACTTCAGACCCCAACACACACAAACGAGCAGAGATCTGAACCCAGAACAATGCTTCTCTACTACCTGCTGAGAGGCTTTTCCAAGAACACGGTCCGGAAGGATTCTACGGTCCGTTTGATATCGAAAAGAATGAGAGGGGGTAACCAGCCACCTGCTGGGAGGTTCTGACCCTGACGAGAAAAGCTGCAGGGGCAGCAGAAGCCTGGAAGTGAAGGGGCTGACCTCAGCGTGGCTGTGGGACGGAGGGACAGGGTCTTTCAGGGGACAGAACCTGACGACTGAACACAGATGTAGGCCAGGCCTCAGAGTCCAGGCTTTCTGCTTTCACTAGTCCAAGTTACGAGATTCTACTGACCTGCTGACAATGAACGCTACAACGTGACTTTTTATTCCCATTATATATATTTTTAATGTCTTTTTATTTCCATTATATATACATTTATTTTTAAAATGTGTTTTTTTATTTCCATCTTATATATTTATTTTGAATATTAATAAGGAAATGATGGTTTTGGTTTCTTTAGAGTCCCATGGTTGTCCCACTGGTTGTTGGGACTCCTAACATCCACAAAATGCTACATCCAAGTTTGAGCTCAAGATTAGCATACTGGCTAGCAAACCACCAGAAAACAATGCAGGCGCCAGTTACATGTTCAACCAGAAGATCTTTTTGCTGTGTTTAATCTGCTGGTCTTGGAAAACCGAACGTTCACCATGTTGTTAGCAGCTAGCTGCTAACTCTGCAGAGGTCTGCTTTAAGGAGTTAACTTACTATAGGAAAAGTAGTTTAACACAAAGGTTAATTAAATTACAAGAACACGTCCTATGGATCTACTGAGCAAAGAGCTTAACGAGCTTCAGCGTCGTTTGTAGCTCAAGGACCAGGAGATGTTCTCCAAGTGAAACTAAAGGTGTTGTGGATGAAAGTGATTCTGTAACACACGTCCAGTCTTTAGCTGTAGGTTAAACAAATCGTTTAGCTTGTACAGTATCTGGTTTGTATTTACAGGGTTTAAAACAATTCATCAGTTTGAGATGAAGACTTTAATTTCAAGCAGGGTCTACACAGACGTGCTCATTAACTTGAAGCAGGAAACAACAAACAAACATATTAAAGTTATGTTTTATACATGACCTGTAAAACCACGGATGAACGTACTTTATAAAGCTAGTGATCTTACACAGAATATTTGACTGACACAATCTTTTTACTTTATTAGTGAGAGTTTGAGGCCAGATTGTAAATGTGGACCTGGTTCAAGATCCACCAAACATTGTACTGAACTGAAGAACTCTGTCAAGAGACTGGTGTTTCCTTCTATTTCCCAGTGAGGACAGGTTTAAATGGGCTGGACTTACTCTCCTCGCTGCCGTTGCACTTCACCTCCAGGTCGACGGTGGACAGGCACAGCTTGCTGGCGTCCTGCTCTGCCAGGTCTTTGGTGGGCTGCTGCGGCTGCTTTATGACGTTGCCCACGCTGAGACGACGGCCAACCGTGGTCACCTGATGGTAAAACTGCTTCCCGGTGATCTTGTGGTCAAACCCCAGCCAGCTGAATTTGATCTTAACCCTGAGAGAGCAACGAAGGTGGAAGATAAGGAGAGCCAGCGGAGGAGATGTAAGAAACATGTCAGCAGAGACGCAGAGGAGGAAGGAAAAGCCCAGATGATTGAGAACAAAAGCAAACCATCCTCTGGTTTCAGGGTCTTTCCTCTCTAGGGCTCAAAGGGATTTGCTGTGAGATCCACCACCTGAAGTGTGCGTGTGCATGTCTGTGTGTGTGACGCTATGACTCCTGAAGACTTAAGGCTACCTGGGTTAAGACAGACCAGGTCTCTTGGACTTACGTGAAGTCCATGTCCTCTGGGCCTGGGAACGGCTCCAAAGGCCAGTTGATGAAGCAGTTGAGGAAGACGAGGCAGGCGCAGCTGGCCCAAACCAGCAGGATGGAGATGAAGGCAGCACCCAGATCATAGATGACCTGCAGGGAGCAGACGCAACACACACAGGTCAAGAACTGATCCTCTCACTGACTCCATGCTGCCTTTCTAGAGTCTTTGTGTCGCAGCAGCGCTCTGACGACTGGACAAACTGGACTTCACTATGGGAGGCTGTGGATGAGCGGTTAGATCAGCCGCCCTCCAATGGAAGAGGTGAGGGTTCGATTCCACCAGCAGTCACATGCTGAAGTGTCTCTGGACAAGACACTGAACCCCTCGTTGTCTCCGATGTGTGTCCCATCGGAGTTTGAATGTGTGTGGAGGTAAATGAGGACACAGCTCGTGTTGAGCATCTTGATAAGACAGTGTAGAAGTACAGTCCATTTACCATTAAAGGATGTAGGCGACTGATAAGAAGTTACCTTGATGCCGGGGAAAGTGACAGCAGAGGAAGCGTAAGATCCAATCATCAGGGCGATGAAGGTCGACCGCACGTCTCCAAACATGTTGGGAAGCTACGGAGAACCCAGACACAACTGATGAGCACATTTTACCACAAACATACGGACTGCGCTGCTGCATAAGTGTCTCAGTGTTCAGCCTTTTGAATCAGAAGCAACACTCGAAGGTCTGTCAGTCCTTGAAAGAACGCACAGCACCCGCCATCTTCATCACCAGACTTTTAAACGAAGATAATCTTCAGATGACAAATGATGGAGCTGCTTCAGTCCAACATTATTAATAACATAAAGCACAACTGCATACAATAACATCACATGATGTCACACTCAGAGGGCGTGTTATGAACAACTCTGTTACCACCAAAATCAAATTTTAGGCTAAAGACAATTATGTGCATTCTAATACAGATTAGCTGTGGCCGCCATCTTGAATAGAACTGACTGCAAAAAACACTCAGCTGTAAATGTGTTGTCTAGGGACGCACAATATTAGATTTTTGGCCGATATGTTAAAACTTATTTGATCAATAACCGATACCGATATTTTCCCCATAGACCCACTTACAGAGGCTACATAACTTTCTCTGCTGTGGAGTTAAAACACCACATTATCCTGCTCGCTCTTTGTCAGTTCGGCTGCTACCAAGTGCACATGACAAAAAGAGGCTGAAAATGATGCAACTCTTCAACTTGGATTATGTTTAATGTCAAATTAATTCATGACATTTACTCTCTAACACAATGACAACACTCAAACAGTGCACATTTGTACATTTTCAC